TTGTACCAATTATCTGGACATACCTTTAACAATCTTTGGACCATAATGTTATTATCCACTTTTAATGTAAATACTTTTAATTATATTTTAATGTTAGTATTTTTAATATAGTGTAAAGACAAAGGTATATTGCTGGTCTTTGACCGTAATAAAGATCTTACTTACATCAATGGCAGCGCTGGGTCTGGGCCTGAAGTAGAGGATTGGGGCCTTCAGCAAAATGAGAGATTTGTGCAATGATGGCACTATTTGAGACCTGAAGGCTGCTACATCATGGAGTGATCTACCATCATTCATTCCAGTTCCTGCCAACCTGATAGTTCAAAAGGGTGCAATTGCAAGTAGATAAAGAGATACCACTTTGGTGCTAATAGTAACAGGGACATGAAAGGAAGCCCCAATTGGAAGTCCCCTGGGCAACAGTGATGTTACTGGCTAATTCTTTCAATCCGGAAGTGCCTTGGTGCAGCCGACACAAACACAAGTGATCGTGGCTGGCTGTGGGTTTAAGGCACCGTTTTTCAGTTGCAGTGACAGCACTGGAGCTAAAGTAAAATCCTGGGACTGATGGCAGCTGGCCGAAACTGCTGAAAGCTCCCTCCTGCTTCAACTTCAGCCACAGCCGTGGTGCTGCTGATGGCGAGTGCCACTGTGCAGGGCAGCCAAAAGGACATAGATGGGAGGGAATAGGTAGGAGTTGCAGTGCCCAGTAGATGTAAGTGAAGGTGGGCTACTAAGCACCTCACCTATGTGACCAATTTTAATGACATGGCCACAGGGGTGCTATAGTGGCCATAACTTTGAGCATGGATCATAAAGTCTACTTTTTCAACACTGTAATTTTGAATGAATGGTGAGTGAATAATTGCAAATCAAGGATTACTTTTACAATATTTTTAAAGGCAGTTTATATTAAACAATGAAAATCAAAGTCTGTATTATTATTGGTAGCTAGCAAGATTCTTGAAAAAATACCCATTGTTACCTTTTATAAAGAGAAATCATTTTGACAGACATATAAACAGATTCTTTCCCCTGAAGGTATTTGTACTGCATCAACGCCTTTTGTGCTCTTGGGAGACGTTTTGGATTGCCTTCCTTTGGATCAGTGTGACAGAATTTTCACTTTTGTGGAAAAAAACGTTACCACATGGAAATCAGTAAGTATGGAATTTGTGAAAAGTTCATTTTTGTAATAGATGAATAGGTGAATAATTTGGTTAGCATGCAAGAATTATGTAAAACAAACATATGCTGTTTGGAATAATATAAATTGATCACTCTGTATTAAATGATTAAGTATTTAATCATGTCATTTGTCAATTGTAGGAAAGAAGTGCAAATATTTAAGAATCAAGCATTTTTGAGCACTGGGTGGGATTCTGAAAAAAATGAGATAAAAATTTGGAACGTTCATAAGCTTTATTAAGTCCACTGGCCAGAGATTATTTGTGACTGCACTGGCTGCACAGCTTTAATACCATTCCTAAATCCAACATTTTTGGGATGTTTAACCCAAAATACTTGTTTATACAATACATTAGTATTGTATATTTTGCTAGCAAATAAGTTAGAGAAGTTTTTAGATAGTTGTAAGTGGACTATGATGACCTCTCAAAATTGTGGTTAAAAATATAACAATATTTTTTTGGTTCATGGATTAAAACATACTTGTAACTCGCTGTGATACTTTATCAGCCTTTTTAACTTAGTATAAAGTATTCAATTTAGTATTTGCAATCACAAATGATTTTTAAAATCCCCTCCCCCCCAAATAAAACTGCTGCAAGTGTGAATTAGATACAAGTCTTACAAAGTGCTCTTGTCTTCAGCTTAGTTATTTCTATTGGTAAAATACCTTACTCAGGAAGAACAAAATCCCACGTAAGAAAAGAATTTGCCTTTGCATTTCTGAGGAGGTTGAATCAAAAGAACATGTCCTTCTAAATTCTGTTTTCTGAAGCACATTCTCTCATTATCCCAATCTTATGATGTGTCACAATCCTCTTTTTTGCTAGCCAGTTCATATCCACAAAGATACAGACACAAATACATAAAGAAAGCCAAATTTTGCATAATAGCTTGTTAGATTAAAAAAGAAAAATGTATAGTTGGCATAAGACTATTTTTAAGTCTTTTTAATTGTGTTGGAATACATGTGTTCTGTGAGGTTAGAGCTGGGCTTATTTTATGATCATTCATACCATTGATAAGTATATGATTTGGTGATAGACCAAAAGAACATTGTTTGATTTGCCCATTGTTTTGAGCCAATAATTTTTGTCCACAATGCACAACATTGGAATAACCTCAGTATGATGCACGTCAACTCCTGCTCTCTTTGTATTTTATTAAAAAATAATTATCAATAAAAATAAATTGCTTTATTCTTATTTAGAAAAAATCAATGCATTTTATTTTTATTCTGCTTTGAAATTACAGTTTGATTTGAAATAGAATGTTTAGATATATTTTGTTCTGTGGTTTTGTGAGAAGTGTTTTTGCTGCAGTGTAACTACAATGGCCTATTGTAAATATTTAATAAATATAAACATTCTTCCCTGTTTGCTTGAAATATATATTTTATAGCACGAGAGACTATTCATAATCCTACTCCAATTATCTTTCTAATATAATTAACTGCATCCTGTTTTTTAAATATCAGCTAATTATATCATGTTGAATTATATGTTATTTTTAGAACACATTTTATTCTGCGGGAAAGAATTATTTACTGAGAATGTGCAATGGTGAGTAGCCTTTTTCCTAGTATTGCCAATGAAGATTCAGCCTTCAGTGTAATTTTCAATGCTTCTTGTTAAAACTCTATTCATGTCCTACTGTTACATAATTCTGTAATGAAACATTACAGGGAGTCCTTGATTTATAACAGTTTGTTTAGTGACCATTCAAAGTTACAATGTCACTGAAAAAAGTTATTTATGACCATTTTTCACACAACTGTTGCAGTATCCCAATGGTCACATGATCAAAATTCAGATTCTTGGCAACTGATTCATATTTATGATGGTTGCAGTGTTCCAGGGTCATGTGATCAACCTTCTGATAAGCAGTCAATGGGGAAGCCAGATTCACTTACCGTATTTTTCGGAGTAAAAGATGCACCTTTTTCCCTCAAAAAAGATGCTGAAAATCTGAGTGCGTCTTATACACTGAATACAGCATTTTTTGCCTTCCGAAACTCTGCCCCTTGACCAAAATGGCCATGCAGAGCCTGTAGAAGGCTTTTAGAGAGCTCCTAGGGGCAAGGGAAGGCAGAAATGAGTGAAAAACGGGTTATTTTTTGCTCAATTTTGCCCCCCCCCATTCCCCCAGGAGTACTCTATAAGCCTCCTAAAGGCTATGCATGCAGGTTTTTTGACAAAAAATGGGCCTGTATCCAAAAAACAAACTGCTTTGTGCTAGGTTTTTTTGGGCGGGCACACCCTCCCCCCCAGGAGCACTTTGCAAGCCTCCTAAAGGCTATTCATGCCTTTTTTTGGAAAAAAAGGGCTCTTTTTTGATGAAAAACGGGCCTTTTTGGGAGGTTTGAAGACTGCAAAAACTTTTTTTTTTAAATTTGCCTCTTCAAAACCTTGGTTTTATACTCTGATGTGTCTTCTACTCTGAAAAATACGGTAATAACTGTTATTAACTTAACAACTGCAGTTATTCACTTAACAAATGTGGCAAGAAAGATCATAAAATGGGGCAAAACTCACTCAACAAATTTATCACTAAGCAACATAAATTTTGGGCTCAATTGTCATAAGTTGAGGACTGTCTGTATTGGTTTATTTAACACTTTTTGCTTGACATATCTGCATTTTTATTTGAACAATAATATATCTATCTGAAAACAATATAGAACTGTGTACATATGCAACTTAGTAACACCATCATCTTTAGAATATTTACTCAAAGGTTACTCCAGATAGTTCAGTTGCTTCCATGTGGAAAATAAATAAAAAACAGGAGATTAAAGAGAATGCATTAGTGGAAAATATTTTCTGCTGTTTGTTTGATATCAGAGTCTATCCCTGTAATATTTTTAAAATGTTGGAAACTTAAATATATTTTTCTTTTATATCATTAAGATCTTTTAAGAAGACTTTCAAAATCACAAAATACAGTTTTTTGTGGAAGAATTCAACTCTTTTTGGCCAGGTTATTTCCTCTTTCAGAAAAATCAGGTAAGTTTCTTTTTTAAGTGACAGCATGAACAGCAATACAATGAACAGATCCATCATATATATTTCAAACCCAATTTGGTCCTAAATTTACAATATAATTTTATGTCTGTAATTTATCACAATCAGGACATTTTTCTCCAAATTTTTTTAAATACGGTCTGCATTTAAAAAAAATTGAAATATTGTATGATTATTTGGAAACTGCTCAGAAAACTATGATATTTGCAAATATCATTTCAGATTATTTTGCCTGATCAGATTTTTCCCCCTACAGGGCTTAACTTGCAAAGTCAATTTAATTTGGAAAACATCACAGTTTTTAATACCAGTGAGCAAGACAGCACTCTTGGACAGAAGGTTATTTTTTATTATTCTCTGTTAGGCACAAAATATGGAAAACTTGGAAAATATAGATATAATATGCAGGCTGTAATTCTCTCAAAAGAAGGAGCATGAAGTGATTTTAGACATTAAAGTATCTCACAGTCTATTATTTAATTTATATTGCACCAAAATCATGAATTATGTCAGTTGCTTAAGCCTTAAGGAACAAATTTTGGTGGAGATGCAGAAGTGAAAAAAGAACTTCCCAATTTGTGAAATCAATTTCAGTATTCATTTTAAAAATACTCAAGGTCTGTTCTGTTTGAGTAACCACTGAAGTCTTTCAGCAGATTATTGATTATTTAATTTTCCAATTTTAAATAAATATAATAATATAATATGCTTCTTCCTCTTTTAGTAACTGCACAAAATGTTAGTGCTTTGTTTTGAACGAGTAGAAAAGTTTTCTATTCATGTAGATGGAATGGAAATTAATGTTAAATTAATTCTGTGACTTTAGCATGCAGAGGAGAGAGAGGAAGGAATGGAAGTGGAAGAAGGTGAAATGGGAGATGACGAAGCTCCTACAAGTTGGTGAGGAGAGATAAATTTAAATTCTCAGTTGTGAAATAAAAGAAAACGTATGAAATCTATTGGAATTATATCTGTTAAAAAGATTGCCTATAACTTTTATATTTGCTGTACCATTTTTATGAAAGTCTAGTAAAATCTTATTAAATAGGGGAAATTATTGGTCATGGCCATGTTTATTGAGATCCAAAGATGTTTATCCATTGAATAAGTTCTCATTTCTGTGTTTATATAATATCAATAGGACAAATGTATGTATATATGTTTTTAAATAATAAATGTGCCATTTTTTTCAATGATAGCCAGAGATATTTATGAAGGAATATATTGTAAATATTTTTTGTCAGTTCCATTCCAATAGATTATAATCTGTACAGAAAATTTTGGTCACTTCAAGATTACTTCAGAAATCCTGTGCAGTGCTATGAAAAAGTCTCATGGAAAATATTTCTTAAGGTATTGTGCTTATTATATTTCCTTTCCATTTTGGGGGTATATAAATATGTATTACTTCTGAAATTCCAAGCAAAACAATTATTGTTATTTTAAGCCACTTTTTTATAACTCAGAAGGTTGAACATATCCAGTATTGCTGCCCCCTATTTTCCCCACAACAACCATTTGATGTGAGTTGGGCTATAAGAAAGGAATTGGCCCAAAGTGACCCAACAGCTTTCATGCCTTAATACAGTGCCTATGAATTTAGAATGTATGGAAGGATCATTAATTAAGAGTTGCAGACAACACAGTACAAATGACTATTTATTTAAGGGGATTTTATCTGTAACGGTTCTCTATTGAAATTGAAATTTAATGAATTGATATGCCNTTTCCCTTTCTGCCCTTCTTCTATCTTCCTTTCCTTTTCCTTTTGCCTTTCCTTTTCCTTTTCTTTTTCCTTTCCTTTTCCTTTTCTTTTTCCTTTCCTTTCTCTTTTCCTTTCTCCTTTCCTTCCTTTTTCTTTCCTTCTTTTCCATTTCCTTTTCTTTTTCCTTTCCTTTCTCTTTTCCTTTCTCCTTTCCTTTTTCTTTCCTTCTTTTCCATTTCCTTTCCTTTCTCTTTTCCTTTTCTTTTCCTTTCCTTCCTTTCCTTCTCCTTTCCTTTCTCCTTTCCTTTCTCCTTTCCTTTCTCCTTTCCTTTTTTCTTTCCTTATTTTCCATTTCATTTCCTTTTTCCTTTCCTTTTCTTCTTTCCCATTTCCTTTCCTTTCCCTCCCCCTCCCTTCCCTCCCTTCCTTCCTGGGGGGGTCTGAGGGAGAGGGAGGGGACCCTTTTCCTCCTTGCCCCCCTCCCCAACATCTGCTCTTATGGCAATTATGGCTAAAAAAATTCAGGTGTTCAGGCATGAAAATGTGCCACTCAAACACTATACTTTTCCGCACACACTGAAAAAAAATTAGAGGGAACATTGGACTGCATCTTTTAAGGTTGATGGGAAGGAAACAAAGGCCCCTCATTTCCTTGTAAAGGCATTCACAGCAGAGGACATGTTGCAAAGATCCCTTAAGAAGGCCCATGTCAATCTTTTCACATTGGGAGACTTGGTCCTTGCTTTGTGGAAAGATACAATTTGTCAAGTGCAATATCTTTGGATGGTCTCTCCAGCATGTTTGCTCTTGTGGCAAATAGCCACTTTGATGAGATCTGTCCTAAGTTATGCTTTTTCAAATTATTAATAGGTTCTCCGCTGAGAGTGAACGTATTCCAGGAAAACAATGTGGAAATATTGTTTTGAAAGGAAAGAGAATGTATCTAGGCAATCGGGGCCAACAGTAGTCCTCTGCCAAGACACGCACCATTTAGATTTTATTTGAACGTTTCCTCTGTTATTTGGTAAAATTAAGGGCTACTAATCACTTCTACAGGGTTCCCAATTGTTCATGTAGCACACAGGGGCCCGCAAATAGGAATTGTACAGGCAATCAGTGTGGGAGAGACTACCCTATCCCCACTCTATTACATGCATTCTTGGAACTTTAGAAAAGGCTGGGACGGTCCTGCCATTAAGCAAAGTGTGTTGTGTCACTCGCTCCTCAATGTAGGTGGCATTCTACATTGATGACGGCACCAGGAGACTCCAGCCAAACTTATTCATTCCATCCCTTCTGAATGGAAACAGAGATTTATGTGCTCCATGATCTGTCCCCTGATGTCCTTGGATGTGGGAGAATGTGGGATGTGGCTCATCGCCCATAAAGATATAGACTTCTAAAGCCAATCGGCTGTATGTGCAATAGAAAGGGAAGCCATGTTGTTCTTTTTTTCAGGCAGCAAAGGGGTCTTCAGATGACCTTAAATTGGGCTAGTGCTTCAGGTTACGGAGCAGCAAGTACTAAAGCAATAGGTAGATTGATCAATTGATCATGGGCCCTTAAATCAATGTCAACTTTTAGTGACTACATAGATAGACCTTCTCCAGGAAGTGTATATGTATCTGTCTGTCTAATTCTGGCATTTATTTAACAATAGCAATAACAGTTAAACTTATATACCGCTTCATAGGGCTTTCAGCCTCCTTTAAGCAGTTTACAGAGTCAGCATATTGCCCCCCAAAATCCGGGTCCTCATTTTACCCACCTCGGAAGGATGGAAGGCTCAGTCAACCTTGATCTGGTGAGATTTGAACAGCCGAACTGCAGAATTGCAGTCAGCTGAAGTAGCCTGCAACTCTGCACTCTAACCACTGCGCCACCTCAGCTCTATTTATTTATTATTTAATTTATTTATATCCTGCTTTTGGTATGAAACATTATCACGCTTCAGGGTTAAGGCTATCGATCTAAACAGCAAAAATCCTGCCATCTTGTGGTTCTCCAGATGTTGCTACCTGAGATTTTATCGGCCTCTCATGTATTATGTCCTCATTTTCTGGCTTTTAAAAGAAAGTATTTTTTAATGATCCTGAAGGTAATCTTTTTCAAATGGGGTGGTTTCCTTATAAGAAGGATTTTTTTGGGGGGAAAAAACCCATCTGGAGATAAAGAGATTGACTTCAGTAAGGCATTTGACAAAGTAGACAACAGTATAATTTTGGTAAGAAAGAAAAATGTAGGATAGACAGCATCACCACCAGATGGATTCATAACTGACTGACCAACCACACTCAACATGTAGTCTTCACTGGAACTACATTTACATGGAGGTAAGCATGCAATGGGGTACCCCAAGGTTCTGTCTTAGGCCGGCACTCATCAACATCTTCATAAACAATTTAGAGGAGAGGATAGAAAGGGAACTCATTAAATTTGCAGACAACACTAAATTGAGGGGAAGGAATAGCCAACACTTTCAAAGATAGTCTCAAGGAAGGATTAGGAACACTGGTCCCTATCCAACAAAATGCAATTCAATGGTGAGAAAAGTAAAGTCTTACACTTAGGCAAGAAAACCCAAATGCACAGATGTAGAGTAGGTGGTATGTGGTTCAACAGCAGTCTAGGTATCCTGGTGGGCAACCGCTTACTGTATTTTTTGGAGTATAAGATGGACCATTTTCCCTCAAAAAAGAGGCTGAAAATCTGGGTGCATCTTATACAATGAATACATCATTTTTTGCCCCCAAAACCCTGTTCTCTTNTGGCACATGTGCCATAGGTTCGCCATCACAGGTCTAGATCATTGACATGTAATAAAAAATGTGAATTTGAGTTAAGGAAAATTGAAGCTCAGTCCTGCTGACTGGCAACAGGCTGGAAAAAGTTCCTATGCTGTAGAATTAACCAGTGTGAAGAAGCCAAGACTGGAAGATGTCTATCCTTTTTTTCCCCCAAGTGAAAAGCAAATGATGTTTCATGCAAAGCAACTGTTTTATGTTGCTTATTTTTAGTTGACAACTTTTTAGAAAAAGGATATTTGTCACAGTACCACTCTTCTTTTCTTTTACTTTCCCTGTTCAAGTTAGGATTTATTTACTGAAGCACACAAGCTGATTTTCCAGTGCTGATCTGTGTTGCCAGTGGCAGAAAGAAATTGAAGAATAACTGTCATTAAGATAACTTTTCTTTTTCATCTTTTCACTGATTCAGATATAGACTATCTCTTAGGACTCTCCGCTACTTTTCTGACAAAAGCCAAGCAGAGGTCTGAGCCACAAGCTAAGATAACTGCTGCCCTTCTGAACAGCAGCACAGAAACTTGAATTTTTTCCTCCCACAAATGTTCAGTAAAGGTCAATTGAACAGATTAAAAAGCATCAGGCACACATATTCAAAGAAACAAAAGATGCTAGAACTATTTAAAATGTTGTCAAGATGTTTTAAAAATATTTTAGAATTACATGAACCATATAATGAAGTTGATAAGAACATGTTAGCCTCATGGTCAGATTACAAACAGGAATCGACTCCATGTAGAACCAATCAATAATTAAAGTTTTCACGTACAGGGAGCATTCATTCAAGGGACCTAGATAGAATATTCAAAATATGTTTGCAGAACAGATAAATATGGCTGACCTCAGTTTCTGTGTAAGATGGCTTGTCAAAGTTATTTCACAGCATGGGTTTTCAAAGAGTCAGAGATATCAGAGCTCAAACTGACATGGAGATATTGGCCAAAAAAATAGATCTTTACATTGGCTAAGAACAAAATAATTTTTCATGAATTTGACCCAATTCTCAATAAGAGCTTTTCTAGATCAAGATTTGAATTTTTGGATTCCACAGTCAAATATAGGCACTTTCACCACCTGCCATATCATGAGAGGATGTATACATGCAGTATTCCACTCACTGAAGATATATTGATCATGTAATGTTTGACTGTCAACTATATGCCCCCCATAAGTTTTAGACATTTAATTTCCCTATTTGAGAGAACAAAGCCTACAGGGGACATATATACACTNCAACATCTGCTCTGATGGCAATTATGGCTAAAAAAATTCAGGTGTTCAGGCATGAAAATGTGCCGTTCAAACACTATACTTTTCTGCATACACTGAAAAAAAATTAGAGGGAATATTGGAGTGTGTGTGTGTGTTGTTCAGGAAGTATAGAATGTTTCTATTCCATGAGCATGGGTTTTAGTCATACACTATCATCAGCTATATCTAACATATGGGTGAGAATTATCTTGGATTCATGTAAACAGGTCTTTTAAGTTTAGCATTATTTGTGTTTGTGTTTCATGGGCTGTATTGTAAAATTGGAAGAGTGGACTAGTTGACATAAATGAATTTGAAGACCATCCACCATTGCTCTGCCTGTTGATATGCCTGGCAGACTTGAAACATACCAGGAAAGTGTCAAAAGAGATCAAGGCTTCCATTATACTTTGGCCTATTAGGATTTCTAGCCTCTGGACCAGATCACTTCTTTAAATAGATATTCTTTAAAACCTAGCCAGAATACAGCAGTAGTACATATTCACTCTTAGTAATTAATGCTCAGCAATTTCATCAATATAACAAAAAGAATCTAAATAGAGTCAGGGAGAACATAAATAATTTTTCATTCTATGGATTATATCAAAATAATCAGGCTGGAGTGAGACCATATTAAATAAAAGCTCCTAATCTTAGGACATGGACAAATATGACATTAATGGGTTGATATAATAAAAGGACAAATTGCCTAGATCTAACAATAGTCCCTACAATATCTTTATGGTTGTAATACAATTTCACGAGAAAATATATCTATCAAATTCAGAAGGAATTACTGCTAAACCAATAGTAAAAGATTTCAGTGAATGAAAATATATCTAAGAAATGTGACTAAGAATGTCCCACTGAATTAAAAAAACAAGCAAAATTTTAGATCAGCAAGAATAATA